GGAGATAATAATGTATCTCCCTGGAGATACATCATTAATATTTTCATTGAAAATATTTGTAGTGCTTGAAGTTTCAAAACATCTTTACACTATGTACACCGTATCTTGGTTGTATTTCTGTTATGGACAAGAATGTACAAACACTCTCCCACACACAAGTACACACACAGACACACGTTTTTGTAGTGGGGCAGGAAGGACTCAATACTCCCTGTCCTCCACGCCCTCTAAAGAAAACTCTGCTGTATGCATAAATGATCATATGTTTGAACACAGAAATAGAACATTTGGTAAGCAATTATAATTTAAAAGTAGTGAAATATGCCCAGGTGGCAACACTTCTATCACTAAACTTCTGTTAATACAAAATTTTAAATTTGACATAAGTGAGAAGTGGTTAGCAGCATACCCAGGATAAGATTATAATATACATGAACCTAAAAGGTTTTGATTTTACATTTGTGTTTAACTTAGATATATTAATGTTTCATCAGAAAAGAAAAGAAAAATAATTCATGAATCTTTTGATTGAGGTCTGTACACTGTATTGAAATAACCTTTAAAGATTTTAATAAAGACAACAGTAGCCTAAAATCATTTTTCTGCCTGTCTTTTAAAACATGTATTATATTGGAGCATATGCAAATAGACACTTAATTACTCACAAAACACTATAGTTTCAACAAATTATGAATCTAAATTATAAAAATGAAATTCATAGAATTCAAAAATTTATTGTTTTTCTATATCCTAGAGTTACCCTATATATTTTATTATCATATATAATGCAAAAATAGTTCCACCTCTAACTGAGACAGCGATCCACTTCACAAAGAAGATTATTTTTGCTCTGGTTTTCTCTCTTTCTCTCTTGTTTATTTGGATGCTATACATACTTAATTGTATATAAAGGAAAATTAACTACTTAAAAAAGGTTTACCTAGCTACTATGAGTTTACTACCACACCAAATTAGAGTGTCAATTAATCTATATTGACATATAAGCCAACTATTTTTTGATACATACAGGTATATATTTGCAAGATTCATCAACATTTTGAAATACATTTGTTTCTAAGTCACTGAAAACTCCAAAGTTGGTTAACAAAACTAAATTTCAGGAAAAATATCGTGTTATGCCTCCTGTTGCTATTAACGGCACAGATCTGAGGAGCAATATTCTGTCACTGTCTTCATTTAGAGATGCTAGTCAGCAAGTCTTTTTGGTTTGTTTTTTCTCAATTTAAAGATTAGGGTATCTTGGTTTAGTGGATAGATTACATGAAACCAAGAATGTGAAAACTGCTTTTTAAAAATACAAATACCCTTTGGAAGTCCTGATTTTGTTAATTTTCCTTTGGTTTTAAAATAATTGATGACCCTTTTAATGTGAATACTGTTTCTATTACATTTTAAGTAAGTAAAAGCTTCAATAATCACCACCAAAGATTTTTCTATTTCCTCTGACAATTTGAATTAAATTGTCAATTTAAAATGATTACACACGAGAAAATATGAGGACAAGAAGTATTCTAATACTTAAGAATAATAGAATTTTTAAAAATTATTTGATATTAGATTGAACTTAATAAGTGCCTTGAAGGCAAATGCATCTTTTAAACTCATTATCTGTACTGTGTATTCCATTTAATATTAAAAGATACTGATTAAATAAAATCAATCACATTCCTCTGTAGTCACACCTCCCTTTTTATTAAATAAAAATATAAAGTTCCTGTGTTAATTCTGATTAAAATATATTACATTTAGAATTATATGCTCATGATAATTTCCAGAAAACTAAAACATTTACACTGCTTACCCTGCTTATATTGATGATGAAAAATAGTTTCAAAAGACCAACGGAAAGAATACAATACCTGAGTTTATTTTCTAACATGTTATTGCATTTTTAAAAAAATCTAGGTCCCATGATTTTCTTATTGTAACTCAATAATGAACTACCGAGGGCACATTTACTTAATATGTACTCTTTGCCTAAACACTGCGAGCTCGTGTGTAGACTGGTTTGATCACCTCATCCTCCGTGAACTGTTAGTGTTGCCCTCAGAAGGCCGAGGGATGCTGGTGAAATTCTCAGGACTGGTGGTTCCCTCACTGATTTGTAACTTCTAGCCCCAGACAAAACCTGGTTGCTCCTATTTCTCATCCTTAGTCAACTGCCTTCCCACTCTTACAGGAGCAGGGAGCAATCGCCACTCTCTTAACCTTCTCCATCTCATCGCCTGGCTTGCTCTAAATGGCTAGTAGTTGCTGATCTGTATTCCTATGCTCACAGAAAGAAGCCTCCAATCATGGATATCCATGCATTATCTATACTGTATGTCCTGGGGTTAAAATGCCAGTAAGCTTTCTTTTGCATCCCACAGTATCGCTTTGTTGTTTTAAATTGGGAGGTTTACATATAGTCTTTGCCCTTGTGACCTCAAACCTGTTTTACCTATTATTATTATTGTCTAGATCCCTGTAGGATTCTGCATTGAGCTTTCTTTGAATGTACCTACTTACCTATGATTTTTCATCATTTAGAGCAAGGAAGGAACACATTGCAAAGCATACAATACTTGTCTGCTTGGCTTTAGGCACATCTGAAATTATTTTTAAAGAATCTTTTGTTTCTTTTTTTAAAACAATTATCTCTTTCTGTTAGTATCTTAAGCAACCTAGGCACTTAACTATGTCATCATACTGGTTATATTTTTTATTCAGTTAAACCTTTTGAAAGTAAAGTACATAGAGTATAATACTATAGTGCTAACTGCTTCAATGAGCATCTTCTAAGACTAAGGACAATTTCCTACTCAGTAATATTATTATGCTAACACCTTAAGAAAACTGTCATTATTTCAATAATGTCAATCATTATCCTGTCTGTATTTAAATGTCCAAAATTGCTTCTAAAATTTCTTTCATAACTTTTATTTACATTTTTGGGAGAAGTGAAGGAGGCTAGAAATTTCTGAGATGCTTGCATTGTATTGGGTGCTATGCTGCACCACTTAGAAAACCATAATCTCACACTGGAATTTCCTATGAACTGCTCACTAAGACACACTAAGAAGGTGCACAGACTCTTCCAAGCAGAAAGCATCTACCACTTGCGCCCTGGAGGCCATTTGAAAGGAATTTTCTTTTGATTGCTTGAGAGTCTTAGAGTTTTCTGAATAAGAACGTCTAAGAGAAGGTACTTACTCCAGATTGGAGGGAAACACATTTGTGGAGGATGAGAGAGATGGAAGGCTTGCATTGATGTCAGGCAGTATTTATTTAGACTTTGTGCTTCAATTTAGAGCTGGAATAGAAAGTAATTTTGACAAATGGCTTTGGATGAGCCCTGATAGAACTACCTACTGTCTCAACTGTTCTGTGAACTGACTTGGACTGCGAAGTCAAGTATATTGCTAGAATCAGAACGTTTTCAATGAAATCTTCACAAACCTATTGTCAATGCATCTTCAAAATGATTTCCAAATGAACTATTAATTCTATCTGATTCTCCTGTCAATGTGATAATCACTTCCTTGGATTATAAATCTGAATTTTAAGTATAGTTATATTACATTACAGATACACTTTAAACAGTTGTATTCCTGAACACCTTAATTATCTCTAGGGCTGCCAGAGACATCTTCTTCTGTGTTACTTTTAAATGCACTGGATTCTTTAAGTCTGTCACTGTTCTGTGCAAATGCAAAGGTGCTTAAGATTGTAACTACCCCAGATATGGTATTCTTTTATTTATTCTTTTGGTTCCTGCTGCCTTCCTGAAGTTATAATGGGTAAGTTATAATGGGGATTAAAATATCTGAGTTCTGAGACACTTTGTACTCGTCTCCAGATCTAACACCTGCCAGGATCCTTCTTCAGCCAGCTTGCATTTGTGGAGGCAAATATATATTGGTGCACCTCTTTTATTCAGAGACACACAAATATCTAAGGAGTTTCTCAATTTTCATTCGACTTTTTGCTCATCTTCATCATGGGAAAATTTTATTCAAGATTCATGTGTATGATTTATCAAATATTCTTTTAAACTTTTTTTTTTTTTTTTTTCCGGTACTGGGGATTGAACTCACGACCTCGCGCTTGCCAGGCAGGCGCTTATGCTGCTGAGCTAAATCCCCAGCCAAATTTATCAAATATTCTTGAAAATTTGTGCTTTATGTTCTAATTTCCACTGAATGCAGGCTTTCGGGACTTAGCATTCTTTTCTCTCTTTTCTTCTGCACACGTGCAAGTGCACATGCACGCACACACACACACACACACACACACACACACACACACATGCACACACAGTTCCCATGTGACTCAGAAAGAGGACTCAGAAAGAAGATGATGGTAGATAATTAAAGATATACTGTCACGATGATCATGGTTAGTATATTTCACCACTTCTAAAATCACTCTCAAGTTAAAATGTTACTACTTATCTAGTTATATTTCATTTTTACTAATACTAATGCACTATTTTTCTCATTTCCAGAGTATTATAAAATAAAATAAACACTATGCACTATGAACTATGATTATTTCCAAAAGACAGTGACCATTTTAGGAAGGAATGGGAGTTAGACTGTAAAATGGAACAGTGGAAAGAATAAAAGAAAGATTTAAAATATAGTGGGACCTGTCCACAAAGGACGAATGGAACTTGAAAATTGAATTCTGCCGAAGTGTAAATGTAACGCACTAAGATTGCAGAGAGCTCTGCATTAGCCGGGAAAGTTTATTGGTAAACTTTTAAATAGAAAAATTGTACTTTGGATAAATAATTTCACAATCAACCCTACTCTGCATTTGAGTATTACTTACTGAGTGAAATAATGTTCATTTATTTATCCCATAGAGAATGTTAGAGCAAGGAAATGTATTTTATTTATTTCAGAAAAGTATAGTAATATAACAAATTTCTTTGATATTTTGTTTTCAGTTTGACATTTATTTTTTCAGATTTAATATGAACTTCTCTTTTTCAGCAGAATCTGCCCACTTCAGGAGTTTCGGTTCCTGAGGTGCGTAAGCAAATCAAACTAAAAAATTTCACACTTTCAATTATAGTTTATTAAACACTTGTATCGTTATTAAAAATGTGTTGTGCTGGATGACTGACATACTAATATTAATTTTTATATTTTTTCTATATTCTGATACTTATCAATTAATTTCTTTAGATTTTCAGTAATGTGATAAAACTAAAATTTTGAAACCTGAATTTATTGCAAAAAGTATAAAAGGCATTATGTAAATAAAATTATTCAGGGAAAAGTTTACTTTGTAAAGAATTTTGATCAGTGGATAAAATAGCATCATTTCTATTTTTATGTTACAATATTAATATATTGCAGGAAAATTCAAAACAATTCAATTCGTTAGAGCCTCAAAAATGTGGACATTAATAATAGTATGTGGAGAAAATCTTGCTCACTGTGAAGTGTCTGTTTCTTTGAAAAGAGTACATCATATTTCACATCATATTGCATGGAAAATCACTGGAATAAAATATAGTCACAGAACAAATTTCTCCTATTTTGAAAATAAATGTAAGCATCACCACACACTATTTTTAGTAAAATAATCACTTTACCTCTGCTTTGATGGAGCAAAGCCTCCACAGTGCTCTGTGACAATATTTTTATTCAGTTGTTATTATCTCTGTAAGAAATGCCCAAATGCTAATCTTTGCCTTAAAATTGAACCTAACTTTTTACAAAAATGTGCCTATATGTACAACTCATATATGAATTTCACTAACAAATAACATAATTGCCCAAAAGTAAGATGCTCTCCCCGCTTCATTAGGGACTAGTTTTCAAACCAGTACACATTACTTGAGTAAATTAAAATTAAATTGTCACTTGATACATGCATGCTTGATACACATACTTGAAAATGTACTTGGAGATCTGCTTGTTAAATTTTTCTATTTTAAAAAAATATGATAGACTTATCTTGTGACTTTAAATGAGTGAATACTATAATGATTATAAAATAAATTTTTAAAATTACGTTTGTGGTAGAAATATAGAAAAATTTATCATTTGATTAATTATTTAACTGTGAGATGTTTTTCATATCAACTTCTTAGCTATTTTTGCTCCTGTTACCAACTAATCATGTGTATACAGGCATTGATTTTCCAAATTAATTTTTGTTACATTTTGATGCTCTCCAAATGTCTACCATACTTAACTGTATAATTTAATCAAGATTGAAGAAACATCAGAATTTGTTTATGTATTTATGATGCTTTAAAGCATGTTTTACTAATATACAGTTTTACAAAGTGTCTCTACAGTTCTTATTTTCTGGCAAGATATATTGATTAATATTAATGTAACTTTTCCATCATTTCTCAAACTTTTTGCATATATTGTTCAAAATTTTCTTAAGCTTAGATGTGGATATACACATGACGGAGTGTGTATATTTGCACATATACACACTCTGGCTAGGAAAATTAACTGCCATCATCAGGTACAATTGCTCTTGGCTTACATATAATGTGGTGAAAAATATATATCAGAAAACAGAGAGAGATACACAAAGAGATTAAACATTAGCTTTAAGAATGTAAGTGTGTATCTTTGCCTTCACATGTAACGTAGGTGCAAGGGGCTTCTGTGAGACACCTTCTCTAGTTCGGTGTGGTCCCACCTTTCTACTCTTGTCACTTAGCCTCAACTTTTAAAGTATAATAACATCTCCAGGACATCTGAGATTCAATTTGAGTATAAAAATTATGAAACAGTGGAGCGTAATAAAAACCCTATTTTTTGTTAATTTTGAAATCACGGGATTATACCTAAACTTGACTGCTTTTTATACACAACACACACGTGTGAACATAGGCTTAAAAAAAGTACTGTGTTTTTCCAAAGCACATAGATTATTTTTTGTAGCAATTAATCTTTCACTGTGCATTTATTACATATTTATGATTTCTTATAACTAAATGGTGTAATAATTAAATTACACAGTTACAATAACAATGAAACTGGCAAAAACAGATCAGGGACTATCCAGCAATCATTCTGGTTAAACACTTAGCCAACGCATAGGGATGAGAGTGAGGATCTCACACAGGAAAGCTTTATGTTACATTTTAAATTTCTGTTCTTTCCCTAACAGACAGTGCACTTTACAATGCTATGTGTGAGAAGAGTTGAAGCTGGCTACAGTCTGCCTCTAAATAATTGTTTATATGACAGATTATATGTACATAATGCACAAATATGACTTTTATTATTCTGGAATTATGCTACCATACACTGGGACACAGCCAAAATTAAATTATTTTGACATAGATTCATTCCTAAATTTCATTGTCTCCATCCAGGTTATCTTTAACAGAAATTTAGGCTTGGCTCAAAATAAACTTATCCTAGGAGAAAATATGCTCATCACGTGTGATGTTTGAGAATCAGGAAGTGTGGATGACATCACATAATATATGTTCAAGTTAGCACATGAGTAGCAGTGTCAGGATCTTTAGGGCAAGGCTTCTTGCATTTACTATGCTGCTTTTCATCTTCACAGAAAGAATCAATATCAATACGAGGTTTACTCTAAATGATGTTTGTGTAGTGGACAAATAACACACATGATGCACCTTCTAACAGCATCTGTCATTTAGTACTACAATCCAGTACTAAGTGATGAACCTATTAACAAAATGCAATAAATATTTATAATTTTAAAAATACTCTCACTTGGCTAAGTGCCTATTTCATGCCAAAACTGTTATCCACATTTCCCTAATTAATTCTTATACGAATCTTCTCATGCTTTAGCTGAAACACATAGTGATTTAATGATAATAAATAACTTGCTCAAACTTACAAATTAGGAAGACATCATTTATTTTGTAATTTGAATTCTAAGCCCACATTTTGCCTCTGCCCAAAGTTATTTTGTTTTTATTTTACTAAGTACTTATTTAATTTTTTTAAAAATAGAAATTAAGTCCCTCTACTATATCCCTTACTATATTAATGTGATATATACTTAAAATATATTTTTCAAATAAAGGCTACTTAACAAGTTAACAATTTGCTGTATCTTCCTAGTTTTAGAGCCTTTGTTATTTTTGAAATGAATGTGTTTCCTTTGGACAGTAAAATGTTCAAATCTGAAATGAAGTGCATGCTAAGTAAATGTATAGCTTTGCAATGGCTATACATTTATTTGGAGTTCTTCACTTTGTGAGCTGTAATGCATGTTTAAGAGAGACGCTAAACACTGTGACCATGCATGTGACACTTTGGTTAAGAGTCTGTGCTTTCCTGGAGTTTCTTGAGGACATGGTCAAGTGGCCCCAAGGCCTATGTTGCACCTGGCCAGTTGTGTGGTGGCAGAGAGAACAAGTTCCAGGATTTGGATGACAGATGCCACTGGCAGCAATGACTTGCTTTTGTAGCTTTGTCTCAACCCAAGTGCTTTGCTGCTGTCTGTCCCTCATGCTGAGACTGGACAAAAAAGGAGAAAATCCCATGGTCGTGGTAATCATCACTTGCTGCTTATAGTTTGCCAGTGATCGATAGTAGCAGGCTTAACTATTGTGGTAAACAACTGTTCGGAGAAGCATTTTTCAGCAGTGTACAAAACTCTACCTCTGAGAATCAGCATGGTGTAGAAAAAGACTTTCTTTAAAGCACATGTTTAAAGGAAGGTCTTTTTTTATTTTATTTCATCTTTCTGTTTTCTATGAATGGGCTCTTTTGCTTTTCTTCGCTGTTTATTACGATGATTATGCTTTTGGAATTCTAATACAATATATTCCCCAGTTAGGATCTGTTGTGCTACTTGTAGAATCTAAGGATCACAAAACATTGCATTCCATATTTAAAATGTCTGCATAACAAACACAAATGTTTGATATTTGAAAATGCTCAAATATCAATAAGCGTATTTTATATTTTGTGGTTATATGTTCTATATTCTTTCATGATTCTTTTAGTTGCAGTAGTTTCTTTCAGTGTTTGAATAATTTCTATTGATTAAAGCAACAATTTCTCAACTCTTTATATCTAGGATAATTTATCTGGCAGAAGGAAATTTCCTTTAATTATAATAATGTAATTTATTTGGTGGTTTAGAACTTAAAATTTAGAAAAGAAACTGAGGGTTAAATGGTGACTATTGCCCCTGTTATTCACAGAGTAATTTTATTCTGAATGGTGATGTAAAAGAAGATTGGAGAGTATTTTTTTGAAACTTTTTAATAACTTTAACACTGAGAATTAACTCTTTTATATATCATAATAGAGCTTTGCCAAGCAGGGTAAATTAACCAACCAAACAGGCTAGCGAAATTCTTGGGGACAGCAGGGTTTCCACAGGTATAATTCATTTCTCTTCCTCATTCCTGATACGAAAAGAAAAGCAGTAAAGATTTTTCTTAATGGAGATGGAACAATACACGTATCTATCCTCCTGTCAGTTTATATTGCTTAAATAAAATTTAGTAAACATCTCAGATACGTTTCTATTTGAATTGGAAATAAACATGAGACAAGTGAAAAAGGTAATAAGAAAACTCTGGAAAAATTAAATTATTACGAATCTTTCCAATTTTTAAATTTTCAGCCCCGATTATTTCCAGAAACTCTGCCTATTAGCATTTTTCTCCAAAACAAAGACATCCGTTGGTTACCTTGACATCTACATTTGCTTAAATGAATGTTGACCATTTTAGAATTAGTTAGACTGATGAAATATACATAAAGATTTACATGTTGAGGTTTTAAAAAATTGAAACTAACCTCCTTTACTCACACAAAGAACGATGAAATGCAGTGAATGCTTAATTCTCTTCGAAAATGTTATAGTTAAGGGCATAGTGCCATTAACCCTTACAGTCCCCCCTCTCACTTCACACACTCTTACCCACCATTCTTCGGCTTTCTGCAGCACTTCTTGGTCCTTTTCTGTGCGTCTCTTCAGCTGTGCTGATTGTGGCTTCCTCTATGTCCTGAACATAGAAACCTTTGACCAAAATAAGTGTTAATTAGTGTAGACAATTTCCTTAGTTATCCATGATATAAGAAAGGTTAAAACGTTAACGTTCCATGAATATTCTAACATTTCAAAAACAAATCTCAGCAATTTAAAATTCATTTTAGGGTCTAAAGTTTTATGTTCTTTTTACAATTGTGTAATCTAAGGCTTTGCTTTAGTCTTCTCCTGCTTTGGTCCAAAGGGTTATAGTCATGAAAGGCCAAGAAACCTGCTGTCATCTGCTCCCTTGGTAGTTGGAAATTCTTTTGGCTTGGAAACTAACTCTGTGGGTGGTCAAGAATAAGATAAGGCTGAAAGAGCCTGAGTTGCTCTTTCTAAATATACACTTATAACAATATGTCTTAAGTTTTCAGTATTTCTTACATAAATAGTTAAAATTACCCAGGCCCAATGTGATTAACTAAATTACATTTTAAGATATCTTACCTAAGCAGTTTAATTATAAAATGCTAGATAATAATTAATAGATGATATGCCAGAATAACTGTAATAAAGTGTACCTTTCCCATTGAGGACTATTAACTATATATTGATCCCATAATTTATTGACAAGTGGGAGAATAAATTATTTCTATACTAACTAACATAATTGTGTTTTTTGACTCAATAACTACTGTTCATTTTCAACCACAACACTGAGCTTTGCTTCTTTGAACATATACACCTGATGTAGTCAGTGAAATTTCTCATATGTATACATTAGGAAGTAAATAAATAGTTTGCATAATGGCAACATAAGTGAACACCCAAGAAAAGCAATTAATTTTACATTTTTCATAATAGTTTTCATTTAGCAATCACATGCTCTAATGCTGGCACAATATTAAGGAATTTGATTTTTTTAAACTTGTGCTAGACTTAGACAGATTTCAGAAACAAATGATATTATCTCCATTTTGCATTAAGAGTAAAGTCTCAGGGCTAGGGATTTAGCTCAGCGGCATAAGCGCCTGCCTTGCAAGCAGGCAGTTGTGAGTTCGATCCCTTCTACTGATAAAACTGAAAAAGACAAAAAAAAAAAAAAAAAAGAGTAAAGTCTCTAGGTTACATCATATTTGGGTAAAATAAATGTGATTCATCCCAGGTTTGTGGAATTCAAATCTCATATAATTCGCTTTTACACCTTACTTTCTTTAAAGGATCAATATTTTTGCCAGAAATTATGCTTATATTATATTCTAAGGATTTTGAGCATCAGGACTAATATCATACCACCTATTTTTAACCATATACATAAGGTGTCCAGTGTATTTTTTTTTTTCTTTTTGGTACCAGGGATTGAACTCACAACCTCAACTTGCTGGCAGGTGCTTAAGCCCCTGAGCTAAATCCCTGGCCTCCAGCATTTCTTATATCATGGATAACTAAGGAAATTTTCTACACTAATTAACACTTATTTTGGTCAAAGGTTTCTTATGCAACTAGCCCTAATACATCTGAAAATTTTATATTTTAAAGCTAGTTAAATATCTTCTTACATTATGGAAATTTGAAATGACATTCTAGCCACAATAAGACTAAAAATACATCTGAATAAGTGACAGGAAATATGTGGCACAAAGCTCTGATGTACTTGTGAGTAGACCCTGATAATCAGGACCAATTTCACATGAAACTTAGCCATAGTACAAGAGTCCTAAACACAAAGCATTAAAGCATTTTTTAACAAATAGGCTCTTGAATGATAAATTGTATTCTTTTCTTTATTAATACTGAATTTTTTCATCCATTTATTTAGGAAAGTCCTTTCCTTTATGGAACTTCCATTAAAATGGGAAACACTGGCATTAATGAGACTAAATAACACTTCATGTTGCAAGATTTTTTTAAGAGGCTAACAAATAGAGAAAGCTTTCTGAATTTCCCTAAAGACCTGATGTCAACAAATATACAGGGACAAATTCACTAGCAGAGTGCAGAATGATCTCAAAAGATCTGAGCTGAAAGCAAAATTGTGATCAAGACATAGGGAAGAAGCCAGTGTGGCTGGAATGGAGCAGAGAGGGATGAGTGTTGCTATTCTGCTGCAAATTGGCCATAGTCAGACAAAGAAAGAGACTGATCCAGATGGTGAGGTTATAATAATCTACGGGGAAAATGTAACATTCAGTGAAGTTACACAGTGATGGAGGTGGTGAATAGTGATCCTAGCATGGATAGGAGTTTGAGACACCCATGTGGAAAGATAGAAAACTGCTGCCTTCATAAGTTGAGCTTCAGAGGTGAGATGTGAAGAAGAATTATGTATTTATAGAAGTGTCTTCCTCACTTTCCTTAGTCACACAACTTGAAGAGAGGTTTAGTTGGCTCTGTGTTTTCGGAGGATTCAGTCCATAGATGGATGGTTCCTTCACAGGAAGGGCATGGCAGAAGGATCCTGGAGGAAATCTGCTCAGATCACAGTGGGAAGGAAACAGACAGAGAGAAGGGCGGAGCTTAGGGTGGGATGCACCTTTCCAGGTCACACCTAAGACCCACCTCCAATCAGACCATACTTCTAACTGCACTCTCTGGGGCTGAGCTCCCCAGGGGGTGAATCCACTGATGAGAACCATGCCCCGCATTCCAGCCACCTTCCAAATCCACCACCTCTGTTGCATGAGAGCTTTGGAGACACTGTAGATTTGAGCCATGACAGACGACTTCAAAAAATTGAAACTGATGATTGGGCCAGTGAAGTTGGAGAAAGCAAGGGTGGATGAGAGTTTTGTCTAAGGAAGAAGATACACTTTGCAGATTGCAAAGCTGGGGAAGCAGGGTACGAAAGAGACAACGAGGAAGCACTGAAGTGAAAAATGAAAGGCCTGTCTTCCATGCACAGGGGCCAAGTTTTCAAAAAAGTAAGATCAGTTTGGTGAGATACTGCTGAATGCTGAAAGACAGAGGCCAGGTATTAAAATGGCAAAGAAAGGATATACAGAGATCTGAATAAAAGTGGGTGGTAAGAGTTGACTGGGTTGGATTGAAGAAGTGAAAAGAGGAAAAATAGAAAACAGAAGCAGACAATTTCTAAAATACACACACACACACACACACACACACCTGAGAAACAAAATAAGCTGCAGCCAGATGTTTTTTTTTTCTAAATTTCATCTCTAATTGCTTCAAAACCCAACAGAAAATTAGATTTTATTTTCAATATTGCAAGTATTTCCAAGCCTTGTTTTTAGTACCACATTTTTTAAGTAATAATTCTATTTCATGTATCTGCCCTATTGTTTACAAAAATAACCGATTTTTGTGATCCTTAATAACTTGGATAAAGAATGAGTATTGGGCACATAGGGATAATTACAATTTGGCTTTCACTCACATCATTTAGTTAATATTGTGATATTTAACTATCATTTGCATTGAGCCATCGAAAGCAACGGTTCTTTAGGAATTCCAAATTAGGAAGTTGGAGGGTTCGGAGCAAGGAAATTCTTAGTATTGCCCTTTTAGTTAACCATTTTTTTGTCTCACTGGTAAGGTTTCAATTTTAGTAAATGTTTTCTAAAAGGTTATTTTTATTACAGGAAAGACAGACAACGGTGAAGAAGGAGAAGGGTGCCTCACAGCAGCAGGCGAACAAAGTGACCAGCAGGAACTCCATGCAGAGAGCCAACTCGGTGACCGTGGATGGACAAGGCCTGCAGGTGTTGCTCTGGGGACCCACATTTTTGTGGCTTTTGTGGTTGTGACTTAATGGTTCTGAGAAGGGCAGGTGTTCAGGCATCAAAACGTTTGTATAGTGCCTTTATTAACTCAGCACACTGCTTTGGGGAGATTGTTATTTATCAAGATGTCAGGATTACAGTTGACTGACAGAGTGACATTCTGCTTAGAATCATCATTTATACGTTATCTCCACTTAAACTGAAGTTGGCAAAATGTCTTTGCTCAGTCTGAAAGTTTTTGCAGATCACTACTAAACACACATGGCCATTGTAATATGGCTTAATTATTTATGCATGTTCTCTTTCTCTCCATGTAGTTTATAGACTCACAGACACACACATTAGGAAGATATAATTATGAAGAGATATTTTCATTGTGAAATTGTGTCTCAAAAAAGAAGGAAATGAAATCTATGGTGCAAATATTTTTCTTACTAAATAAATCATTAAAATAAGGAATTTAGTCTAATTTATCACGATGTTTAAAAGTTAAAAATATACAAATCCAATATATATGTGTAGTCTAACCAGACTGAAGTACTTTTAAAGCTTTTTAAGCATTCTTAAGACTTATAAATTATTCTTATCATCTCTGACATCAAAACAACTTTTTTATTTACATTTTTAAGCATTTCATAGAATGAATGTAATTTGTCTTTGTTTGCCTATATTTCCAACTCCAAAAAGCACACAATTGAAAAAGTTGCCTAATCTGTGAAACTGTAAAGTTATTTACATCACCAGATTATTAAATTCAAATGTAAAACATAATTCCAAGTTATAAAATTATCATATTTGAGAGTACATACTTTATGTATGTATGTATGTGTGTATGTATTTATTTATTGTGTGTGTATGTTGTGCCATGGATCAAACCCAGGGCCTTGTGCCTCTCAGATAAGAACTCTAACACTGAGTGTACCTCATTTATTAAAGACTAAATCAAGATGTAACCTTTGAAAATCATTTAGCAAACTCATTGAAGTCTCGAAAAATGAAATCCATCAAAATTTTAGTAGTAATGCCAGATTATTACGCCATTTATGGAATTTTTATTTAAAAACTTTAGCATTTAAATGTAATGTGTCAATTACTATACTGATTAGTTTAAATTTGTTAGTTACTGTGAGTTCTTGTAATGACATTAATGAAAGGAAATCCAAATGTGAAATCTAGTTTCATGAAATCCATTTTACATGTGGCTAGGCACATATTATTTTCATTCTGGAAAGAAAACATGTATTATTTGTTACTATTTTGTACAGTTCAATCGCTATATTTTTACACATATTAATTTGTATCATTATCTCAAATGAGATCAATGTCACCATTACTCTCCTGTTTTAAAATTCTCGTACTTGTGTTTGAAAGAACAGTAGTTCCTCCGAGTCCACACTGGCTGTCAGTGGTAAAGCCCCAAATTGAGTGAGGGCAGTCTGGCTCAGATTTGTTTTACCGCAAAACACTCTCTCTGGCTATCTGTCTGTTTATACCTTAAATTAGGACCTCCTTGATCTTCTATGCATTTTTATATCATTCCAGGCTTTGAAATGAGAACCATTTTTTTTGAAAGTTGTTTAATCAGTGTCTTAATATTTAAATAATCATATATCTATTTGCTTATTTTCAAAACCAAGCTCAGGGATATTTAGCAACTGTTTGAAAGCATGAATCAGACATACCACATTAAAAACCATGCACAATTAATGTTCTGTGTATATATGAATCTTTGTAAGCATAACTTTCATACTTCTTGAAACATTTATTGGGTCAACTGAATTTTTTGGTAAGAAAAATGCAGATATCTGCTCCAAGAAAACCAGAGAAAGCAGATGACTATAATTTTCATTTATAATTACTATTTGATAAAAATTGGTTATGTTATGTGTGAAAAAGTCTGTTTCATATCTACACATAGATATTTACATAGTTTTAGAGATAACAAATTCCTGAATTTATATGTCAGGTAAAATAGAAAAAAAGTTTGGGTTGTGGCTATCAATTTTAAAGTGACAAAATGGTTGTTTTCCTCATCCAGGAAAACAAAACTATTGGAAAATTAATTTTCTTTTGAGTTTTAAAAATGTGGAATAGCATTGAGTTGCAGTCCAGTTTGCACAAAACTCAATGACAGAAGATATCTATGCTGCCTAAAGAAGACTATCAATCATAGTTAAACACATTCATCTTACTTCTTCCAGCTAACCAGTATAATGATCAGGATTATCATTTCTAATTAGAGGAAGTAATAGATCATGTATAACCTTAGGATGAGTCTCATTAATTAATCCAAATCCCAGGGGACTTCAGATAGCGGTGCTGAGCCACTCTGTCTCTGTCATCACTCACGCCGTGGGTTTACACTTGAGACATATGACCAAATGTCACCTAAAATATAATTTTTAACATGCAAGAGTGTAAAAGTACAGGTGACCATCCCTGCTGTGAACAAATAAGGAAAACCAGAACAGTGTTTTGAATTCTTCTATATTGTCATTACCTTGTACCCTAATACTATGAAGTTTCCAAATTACAATGTCACTGGAGACCTGAATATTCTAGATGATATTGCTCTACACTCAAGAAAAGAATGGAACTTTTATACCTAATCCCTAAAACGAACATGTGTCTCTTTCAATGAAATTGCTTTTCCCTATCATTTACTTATTTCTTAATATCTTATTTTTGATTGTTAAGATTCAACCTGGTCCCTGTCTCCCAATGCGTATGATAGGGGATACAAATTCTAAAAGAAGAAAGTAATCTCAATTCTGAGAGTTCTGTGCTCCTAAAGCAAAGTGAGGTATGCAAGAAAATGATAGCAGGAGACACACTTAGTGCACCTGACCAGGTGTGTTTATGGGAAATGAGCAGCTGTAAACTCTAAGGTGGTGTGTGTCCAGCAAGATCTAGGAGCAACTGGATCATTGTGGTCAGAGCAGAATAAATAAGACAGAGAGTATTTTAGGGAAATAACAGGCTGGATATTCCAAATCTAGGAAACTTTGGTATGAATGAGATGAGGCCTCACTAGTAGAAGGTTAAACAGAGGAGCAACATGGTCAGAATGATAGCTCCCAAGGCTACCTCGGGATAGGTCAGATTGTTAGAAAACTAAACATACAGGACACACCTACCGTATCATGGTGATGCACGACTTATCTGATGGAGGCTTGTGAGGAAGGAGCAGCAGAGATGGAGAAAGATTTCAAGAATATAAAGGAATATGCTAATGCTGGGACACGGATTTGGTAAGAAATCAAGGACTCAGGGACATTGTCAACTTGGTTGGGCCCATGCAAGTAAGACTATGGAATTGCTGTCAACTACAAAGGCCACATTATATTTTATGATGTCACATTTTGTAAGCCTGGTGTTTGGTAAGGGGACATGTGAAGAAACAGTTATTAAAAGAATGTTAAGAATAATCATTCTTTTAAATGCATTAATTCTTTTCTACTTTTCTAATTCATTTGAAGTGTTGCTGATCTAAATACCCTAATTTTTTTAAATGATTTTGTATTTTATTTTGAGATACTCTCTAGACTATTCTAGTGAGATATTTATTTGTTCATCATAACATGCAATTATGTCACAATTGTTACTGAGCTTTACATCTTTCTTATAATGGTACCTTTAAATATTCTAGTTAATAAATATCTCTGAAAGTTATTTCAAAACATGTTTTCAAGATAATTGCAAATATTGAACTCGAAGTGAATTTATATACAATGATAAGTTTAAGGAGGAAAGGAAAAATCGTCCTAGTGAGTATTTGGGTTCAGATTTAATACTTTGCTTAAAAAAATCTTAAGATTCTCACTTCTATTTTAAGACAAGAGGTAACAATGTAAATTAAGCTCCAAATCCACTGAAATGTACATATGTTATCATTATTTTTTGCCTATGATAAATTTAGGAGTTCTAATTTTGCACAAGGAAGAAAAATAAAGAAACTGAAAACTGGTTTTTGAATATAGTATTTTCTTGTTTTTTTTTTTTTTTTTTTTTTTTTCATTTTTTGCTTTTAACAAGAGAGGGGTACACATTCAAGGCCAGCAGCACAATGACTTAATTACAGTTTGTACCTGATCTACGTTAACAGGCTGAGCACACTTGGTTCAGGAGAAAAACTCTACCAAAGTTCTTCCAGCTAATCACTCTCCCAGCCAACTTAAAGGCAAAGCAGGCGAGGAAAATCCTTGTGCTCTTGACCAAAGAACAGTAAACCAGAGATGGACATAATGATACATGGAAGTGAGAACTGGTTAGGTGAGAATAGAAAAATTAAGGATATTTCACACCACTTCATTTATGGAATGCAATGATTGTAACCTGAGCCACGCCCAGCTCTCAGCCCACAGGAGTGCTCCTGTGGGTACACTTCATAGGAAAGAAAATCACATCTTTGAATTTGTGAATTGCTGTTTTATGATGTGGAAAACATTAAAGATCCTCCTGATGCAAAGTATGCCTAATACTTTGTCCATTTGTCTAACATTTTTTCTAGATCACTCCTGTTCCTGGTACTCATCCACTGTTAGTTTTTGTGAACCCCAAAAGTGGTGGGAAGCAAGGAGAAAGGTATGTTTTAAAAAATGCCACATCTGCATCACAAGTGTAATAATACAAACTAAAATTGTCATGTAGTAGTGTTTAAAGTTATTCCTCACCCTTTACTTAATTTAACGTCAAATATATGATGCTAGCACCTGTGTATTCTGATAGTGATTTCTTCTTTCATGGTTGAAAATGCTTCGTAATAGCTTTTGAGAAGTATTTTAATATTACGGCTCATTATTTACATTCTTTCCATCCCACCTGTCAGCCTCATTCCTTTAGAAAGAACTTGGTGGACTGTAAGGCTTCATAAGCACTATGGAATAAAAACTTATTACCTAAAAGGTCAACAGTGAGACTTTGGGTAAATCTCGGCCTGGAACTGAGGAACAGGATTTGTATCCAGCTCATAGACAAAACATTGCCATGCGGAACATTTTCTAGAGAAGCAGGGTAGAATTGAAATAAAGAGATTGAGCTGTCATCAGGTATCTCACTCTTCCAGCTGATAAAAGTTTCTTTTTGTAATGAGTTAATGATTAATTCCTAATTGACACAAATATGGAAAGCACTACTTTTGAAATAAGTGTTATGTCTACTACAAGGGACAGCCATAAACAAAAATGCAGCTGTACCTGCTAAAGATGGTCAGGATGCCCTATCACAAATGCTATAACAAAAAAACATTGTAGTTCACCAAATAAAAAAGAACAGATATATCTACTAACAAGGGAGTTTTGGAAGTAAATGTCTTTCCTGTCATTAAACTTCTGAGTTTATTTCAGAGAAACAAAAAGTCTTCATTTTTCAGTTAACATAATATTAGTTTTCCCATAAAAATAGCCTGTTCCTTTTTTCAACAACATATAGTTGCATGTGTTCTTCTAAACATGATATTAATTGTTTTAAATAAATACTACCTTAAGAATTAAAAATTTCATGTTCCTTTATTAAAACGTTATCTCACTCTTGTAGACATAAAATAGTGATTTTGTAATATGCTGAAATTATTTTCTCCTGACCCCTTGTAGTCTATTTGCTGTATATGTCATAGACATTTTCTTACATTAACTGAAATTACTGTTTAGCTAATAAAAAGAAGCCCTGAGTGGCATATATTAATGGGGTCTTTGTTATATTGTGATACTTGCATTTATTATGTAATTTTTAATTTAGTCAAACACCTATTTTCTGAAACACACACCATTTTTTTTGTGTTGAAAGCTTTTAAAATCCTTTCTTCTAGATTTTAAAAATTTACATCATTAGCTAGAGTCATCCTGCCACACAATAGCACACCAGAACATCTTGCTTCTCAATTACTGTAACTAAGAAATTGGTAATAACCCCCACTTTTCCTCTCTCCACCCCACACTAGTTTTTATAATCACCATCTACTCTTGACTTCTATGAGCTCAACCTTTTTAGATTCCACATCTTTCTGAGCCTGACTTTTTCCGTTTAACCTAATGATTTCCAGTCCTATTGATGTTGTCACAAATGACAATCTTCTATTATTTATGACTGAACAGCATTCCATTGTGTGTCTGTAACACATTTATTTTACCCATTTATCAACTGATGGACACTTTGTTGGTTTCTAAATCTTGGTTGCTGTAAATAGTGCAGCAGTGAAGTGCAGACCTGTTTTCTATCTATAGATTTTACTTCCTGTTTTTCTGTGCAGCTGGAAATCAAACCTGGAGCCTTAAGCATGTTAAGCAAGCCCTCTATTCTTGAGCCACATCCTAATCTCCACCCATGTCCTTCATAACGCCCCCAGGGGAATTGTTGGGTCTTATAGTACTTTCATGATTTAAATTTTGAAGACATTTTTATGCCGTTTTGCATAATAGCTCTACTACTTTACATTCTTATTAACAATTCTAAAACTTTTCTTTCCTCACTTCTAGCCAACACTTGTTATTTTATTTTATTTTTTTAAAAATTTTTTTAGTAATAATCATTGTCACTGGAGTGAAAGGAAATCCAATTGTTTTAACTTGCAGTTCCTTGAGAAATAGTGAATTGGGAGTTTTGGTTTTATACATATACTGCATCTGTTGACTATTTATATGATTTTTTTGAAGAAATTTCTATTTGGACCTATACTTTTATTTATTTTTATTTTTTCACTGCTGAGGTTTTTTTATTCTATTGCATATGCCAGATATCAATGCTTTGTAAGAAATGCAGTTTGCAGATATTTTCCTCCATTCTATAGATTATCTACTTAAGAAGTTGATTGTTTCTTTTGTCATGCAAAAGATTTTTACTTTGATATATTATCTTTTGTTAATATGATCACTTAAGTATATGTTTGTGCAGAAAAGGAAGTTGATAAAATTTAACTTGCCTTTATGATAAAATCCAGAATGAATTAGTTAAGGAAGGAACATAGTTCATCATAATAGAAACCTTTTATAAAAGCCCATACCATACTATATGGGGCAAAATAGAAAACTTTCTTGTTAAGATCTGGAAAAAGACAAGGGTTTCTAGTTTCATTACTGTATTCACCAGAGTAATCAGGCAAGAGAGAGTAATTATAAAGGCACCCTGGTTGGACCAGGGAAGTCAAATTGTCACTGCTTAGAAATGATGTGATCTTAGACAGATATAAAACACCAAACACTTCACCAAAGACCTTTTGGAATTAGTAAATTAATTCAGAAAAGTTGCAGGCAAAATGTCAACATACAAAACATCAGTATTGGTGATACATTCCAATAGTGAATTATCTGAAATAGAAACTGAGACAGCATTTAACAATCCTCTAAAATGGAAATCAAGATAGCAACCCCATTTACAATGAGTTCCACAATTAAATACCTTGGAATAAATGAAACCAAAGTGGTAAATATCTCTAAAATATTCTCTCTCTCTCTCTCTCTCTCTCTCTCTCTATATATATATATATATATATATATATATATAGTAGTTATAGTATATATATGGTAAATGAAATTGAAAAGTCACAGAGAGAGAGTGAGAGCAAGAGTGAGAGACAGAGAGAGAGAGAGAGACAGAGAGAGAGAGAGACAGAGAGACAGAAAGAGAATGGGGCTATATACTGTGCTCACAGATTGGAAAAACCAGTACTCTTAAAATGCCCGTGCTACTCAAATGATCTACAGATTCAGTGCAATTTCTGTCAAAACATAAATGACGGTCTTTACAGAACTATAAAAGACCATCATAAAGTTATTTTGCACCACAAAAATGCTGAGTACCAGAATATGTATTGAAGAATAAGAAAAAGCAGAGAGAGAGAGAAGAGATATTGGCATATTGATAATGCCATGGGCAAAGATAGTTTTGGACAAGACCCAAAAATACAGATAATAAAAGCAAAAATATATCACGGCTACCTTAAAAACAAAAAGGTAAATTCCTCCAAAGAATTAGACAATAATCACAAAATTTAGATAAGAATTACATCTGTATTTGTACATTAAACACAAATGAACTTTTAAAAGAAAAATTCAAAACACTTTCAAAAGATTTCAAAGTCTTCAATATAGTCAGTATGTATTTTCTTTAAATTAAAAAAAAGGAGACAGAGATAGTTTAGTCATAAAGAAATGAAACTTGCTGAGCAGAAGGTAACAAGTCTTAATACCTTTTAATGCAAGTCATATGTGTCTTCTCCTTTATATATAGTGATAGGAAACAGTCAATGTCGAATAACATGTAAATATGATTTTAAGGAGGTCTACCTCTCATATTATGAATGTAAACTTAAATGTCTCCGTGTGTATAAGAGGCAACTTTCACAGTGGTATTCTAAACAGTGTTTTCCTGCCCAATATTCTGGCTGGTTTGACTATGAAACGTTACATAAGTTGCAAAAGCTCCCTAAGTCCTATACTCATGAAGTTTCTCACATCAAACAATAGGTGTGAATGCGTTCACATTCATTCATTCAGAAACAACCTTTGGGCAAACACCCCTCCATACTAGTGATAAAGTACCTAAAACACCTCTGTGTGTGTCTGTGGGGTCAGTAACATAAAAAGGTATACTGCAATACTATATGGACTTGCTAAACCAGAAATGGAAGTGTTAAATTCCTCTCATCATGTTTTGAAATCCTATATGAATATTTTGTTGTTGTTGTTGTCAATTTGGTTTTTTGTCTTTCTGATCAGTCATTTGCTTCTTGATTTTTTTTTTCTATTTAAAGTAAGAAAAAAGAAAATTGAAAATTTTGAGAAAAAAACAGAAAATATCAATGAAAACAGAAGTTTTGGATAAGCTGCTTGCTGTTTTGTAATGGTTGTTATGTAAGCTGATGTTTGCTCTGTGAAGGAAGCAGAAAGACAGATTCGTGAAAGGGCATAGTAACAACAGGAGGAATTCACTAAGGCTTAAATATATGGGAAAGATACGAGAGTAACATTTGTAATTCTAATGCATGTTACTTTTATTATATGCTATTACTAATTTTTTTCTTATTTGCATTTATATAGAATTTACAGAAAATTCCAGTATCTACTAAATCCTCGTCAGGTTTATAGTCTTGCTGGAAGTGGACCAATGCCAGGGTAAGTCCAAGGGTACTGTTATTGACATCAACTTAATTAGTAGTAACTAATTAAATAAGCAGAGTGACATATCTAGAAATAACATTGCTTGAATACAACAGCCACGTTAGTACATTTAAAAAGAATGTCAACTACATAAGAAAATCTATAAATGATGCTTTTATTTACAGCTTATTTTAAGTAGTTTCTTTTATCCTAAACATTGAGAATTGATACTAATAATGCTACTAATAATTACACATCGACACACTAGACAGCTAAGCTATTAAACCATGTGTTTAAAGAACTGCTCTCCTTTCTTTTGCTCATTAAATATAAAATAAAAATCTGCTGAAGAGTGTAGAGAAATGTAGTTAACAAGAGAAAGAAATTGTAGTGATTTTTTCATTTACTACTTGCAAAATCTAATGAATACCAGTCTATTATACTTCATCGTTAATGGGTAAGAGGCAGTGAAATAAAATTATTGTTTCAATATAAACCATACACTTTTGATGTCATACATATTAACTGAAATAAAATGTAATAACTTAGCTAGTTAAACAATTAATGTCATCTTTTCCCCTCGACCTTTTTTCTCTCTATCAACATAAAAATAAACGTTAGACAGCACAATGTAGACCGAAGCTTGTAAGGTTTTTACATGCTCTTTTTTAAAAGAAGGAATGTAATTTAAACTAAGTATTTTAGGTCATTGTCAAGAACTACAAGCTCCATACTGAAATTGTACTCCTAAAAGTGCAGGAAATAATGTGTAACATCGCGTCTTATGTTAATTAGTGTTAATGAATTAAGAGTGGTTAGCATAGTCTCCCACAAATGCACACACTTCTTCCTTGTACTCCCTTGTTGCTGCTGCCCAAAGTAGATTCTAAATGGTGAGCAGTGGTGTGCAGAAACCGCTTTCTATGACATCAGGCTCACCAGGAAAACTTGGTTCAGCTGCCTTTCTCTAACTACACACTCAGGGATCCCAATACTCATGTTCCAGCTCTTAGCTGGGCCGGCCACTTGCGGAAAGAGGCATATCAGGAAGGCCCGACTAATGTTGTGATTTGATACTAACTTTGATGCTCAAGTTAGCAAGGCTCCTTGTCAACTGATATTCTCTGGACTTCACAAAAGTAGCTTGTATTGTACAGGATAAGAAACTGGCTGTAGACAGTCATTCTGAGGCCTCCATAGGTCTCCCAAAATCAGATAAATCCAAGCTTTCCTTGATTTCAACTGGATTTCCTAATTATTACCTTTGTACCTTAATCCCTGTGTACTTTCATTGTCCTGTTTGTGGAGTGAGCACTTGAATCTATTTCAATAAGACAGTGAAGACCATGTGAAGATCACTAGGATGGTGTCTGTGAAGCATATTGCTGTGTGCTTCTCATGTAGGATTTTCTCAGTAACATTAGTTATTGGCAATGCTATTTGTTGTGATGTGAACTAGTAATTACAAGTAACATGGTTGCTTTGTAGCTCTCTGCAATATGCTGCAATAACGCTTTGCTACAATGCTTTAAATATTTATTACACATTGCCTCTCAATCTCAGTGTTAGGCATCTCATCATCTATTTTTTTAATATATTGAAAAAAATAAATTTTTATATACATGTATAAAAAGTCTCTATTACAATGAATATCATTAAGAAAACAAATTTCAGGGCCCACTTTGAGAGCTACCACTCTTTAAGAGATCACCATTGTGATTAGGTATGACTATATGGGATTATTTTTGTGTTTATCTAATGTGCTCAAATATACAACTATATGTTGCATAGACACATATTTTAGGTAACTTAGAGTATAGATTTTCTACTGCTCTACAATTCGCTCCTTGTGATGGCATTTTTCATTTCTGTAGCATCATTTCTATGAACCACATAGTATTGTATAAGTTTCCTAGCTATCCCATTATTGCTGGAGTATCTGATTTTGTTTACTACCAGTACCCCAAGATTAATATTTCTATCAATTTATCTATATTTTTGTCAGGTTTTACCAAATTACTATCTGAAAAAGATTCTATTATACCACAATTCCAGGAACAATATATAATGTACATTTTCCACAACTCCTCTTAGATGGCCTATGTTTAGTATTTGTTTTTTGCTCAGTTTGATAGATGAAATGTATTCTTGTCATTTTTCTTTGCATTTTGCTGATCAATTAAACACATAAGTATCAGTGACACTTGCTTTCTGTAAGCAACAGGAATGTACTCTAATTTGTTAGTAGAATGAAACTTCTGACTCGCAAATGTAGTGGCACACGCTTGTAATCCCTACACTCTGAAAGGCTGACACATGAGGATTTCAAGCATGAACTCTTCCTGGGCAAATTAATGATATAACAAGATCCTATAACAAAAGTGAAGGGCGTAAAATGGCCTGGGAATGTAGCTCAGTGTGAAGTGATGTCCTGGATTCAGTCCCACGTGCTGCCAAAAACAAACAAAAAACCTGGAAAACTATGAAGTTTTCATTGAATTGATAGAATGGTAATGAATGAGTTTCCAAAACATAGGACTCAGCACCATTTAAGAAAAGTAAGAAGAATCAAAGAGCATGGTCCCTTGTCACTGCTGTGTAAGTGGAACTGATTTCACTTGTTTTTTGGTGTTCTTTCTCTGCTCAAAGTTTGTATCTCAGTGGGACACACCTGTGTCATGTCAAAGTCATGGCCTGTGTGGAATTGGGCATCTTGACTTAAAACCTTATCCAAAGTGTGTACATCAGTTGTCTCCTCTAAAAAACTGAGGTTGGTATTGCCAATGAGGGAGAAAGAGGAATTCTGTGTAGGAATAAACAATAGGGTCCACCTATTGTTCAGCAGTGGAGCTGAACAATATCTCTTCTTTCTGATCATCTGATATAATGAAAATCAAAAAGTTGTGACACTCAACAAATTATTATCACTGCACATATAGCTGAAAGCAAACTCCCAAATCCTTCCGTTGCAGACAACTCAAAATCTCATCTACTTATCAAATCCAGCTTCAAATTCTGGCTCCCTGGGAACTTCTTTGCCATGCCTCTCCTGTCTTCATCCATCCAGTCTCAGGACACAGACCTATAGGCAGAAAACTCAGGGTTTAACTAAAACAGTGATTTAATTAAATGATATGTTTAATAATATAAAGAAAAATTATGCAATGTCTATAGCTTATACAAACATTAGTTTTCACTGGAGCTAAAAATATTTCTGCTACTTGTCTTTTATCTGGTTAGAAATATTTACATAGAAGAATGACTGTTTTTATCTGACAGGTCTCCAACTTTGGTAGTAATGTTGGTGTGGGACAAAATTATTGTCTCATGTACCTTTACTGTTAAGCACATAGCACATAAAAATATTAGTGCTTTCAAAAATATTTACCCGTTTCATCTCAGGCACCTGATTCTGTCACACTTCTTTCCCTCCTAGATGTCAAGAGTGGGCCTATAGCTTTCTCTCAGGTTAAAGCTTGGGAAGAAGGGGGATTTCCACACTTTACTTTCTTTTTCTGTAGTAACCATAATATTCCAGATTTTGGCTCACTCATAAGTAATGGATAATGTAGTAAATACAGAGATAGTGCTTTCTATTTACCTAAAGAATGAATGTTTACAAAAGTTTGGAAACATTATGACAGTAAATTGGATTGGATGCTACTCTCTGTGATGAAATCGAAGTTAGTAGAGAACACTGCAGGGCTTCTCATCCTCTTATATCCATTGCTAAACAGTTTTCCTAAGGATAATCAAAGTTTTTACACAAATAACCTATATATCTTCCCTGGTGCCAGTTGCCAAAGGACACAAACAACCTGAAAACACAGAAGTTTAACTTCAACACAGAAGTTGAAGTTAAAACTCTATTATCTCTGAAAACAGTCTACCTCTCTCTTTGCTTGAAAATTCTATATAGACTAAAAGACATAAAAATCAAGAGGATTCAAAGCTTGGTGTTCACATTAGTGCTCTCCAGAGAAACAGAACCAATGTATCTATACCTGTCTACATATTAGAGAAAGAGTAATTTTTTGCTTGCTTTTAATTAAGCCAAGATCTTCACACTGACCAGCACCCCTCAGTGCATTTATTTTTATTTAATTTATTTTCTTGAGTCAAGATCTTGCTAAGTTTCTAATTTTCCAAGGCTGGACTTGATCCTCATCTCAGTGTTACAGAGATGTGAGGTTGCAGGTATGCACCATGACACCAGCTGACAGAGATATAATAAGAGGAATTGACTTGTGAGATTGTGGAAGTGGTGAGTTCAAAATCTGTAGAGCTCAGGTCACCATTTGAATCCTTCCAGGAGGAAATTCTCTTTTAAACAGGGTCAAATTTTTGTTCTATTCAAACTTGCAATATAATGGATGTGGTGCACTCGCAGTTTAGCTGCTTTACCTGGCCTAACAATTTAAATGATAATTTCACTTAACAAATCATTTTCACATAAACAACCAGAATAACGTTTGGTCTAATAGGTGGGCACCCTGTAACCTAGGCAAGATGACATCTACAACTGACTATCACAGTGTGCATTAACTGTAAGTGGAGTTCTCATTACCTAAGCTCTGCTACGCTTTGGTCCCAGAGTCCTGTGTGCTAGCACAGGTGAAGTGGCACCGTATAGATAGCTTATTGTGCATCCCAGAAAGTTGGGTGATCCATCATTTAGATGGTACAACTGGTATACCAGGACTAAACCTGCAATGAGGGTTCTTACTGTTCTGATTCCCACATATCTTGTGATATATATATATATGATGTTTCCATTTAGCCATGTAAAAATTTTACCTGGCAATTCTATGCCAAACAATTTCAAAAACCTTTTATAATTTGTAGGAAAATTATATGTTAAGGCAGGATTATGAAAGCATTATTTTATGTTTTGTCTTTGTGATTTTAGATTTTGCTTTTGATTGCTATCACTGATCTTTAAAAATTTCATTTTTCTTAAAGGCAGGTAGAGATGATACAGGGCTGAAGTGTATTCTCTCAGATTAAAGTCTAGT